ATGTTGATTTTGCTTCAGCCATTGCAATTCGTGACCTCCATTCATCGTCAGAAAGCTGTGGTATAGCCAGATTATCCTGCTTAAAAGTGAGACAGCTCGAGCTTGCTGCAAGCATCGATGACTTTTCCCCTAACTCTAGTAGTGATATATTTTTTGTAGCCGGCGATGCCGAAATAATCTTCTGGGATGTCATCACTTGAGCCGTCAACACAAATTGCTTCTTCAGCTTGCTTCAACGCACCGTAGTTGCTGCCGTCGTCTGAGTAATCATCTCCATCCACCATAGCTCTAAATTGCTCCATATTGGCATCAGACCGTTTCCTCGCTAATTCTCGCGACGTATAGTGATCGTTGGAGTTCTGTAAGAGCTGACGGGCAATTTCAGGTGCTTCATGTCTCCACCATTTTACATAAAAATCGCTGAGGTTTTGTTTTGGAAAATCCCCACGTCGTCGGAACGGCTTAAACAGTACCAGTAAAGATTGTTGAAGCGTAAGTTGTGCCTCGAGCTCCACGTTGCCCGATCGAGCATCCGGTAATCGTTTTCCAATGAGGGTAGCGACTGCAGGAATTTTTTTCTTCTGTGTAAACTATGAGTAGTAGCTTGACCGTGATTGGAAAGGAAACGCTCTCCACTTACATTATTCTCTTAGCAAACACACTACTTCTTGTCCGTCTGGGGGGGGGAAAGAGGCAGCGGATGAGGATGAGCCAAATATCGGCGTACCATTTCAGAGCACCATTCAGTATCGGGCACATAACGTTTTCTTGCTAATCGCTTCATTTGGCCTTCAATCACCTCATTCGCTCCAAAAAACGACTGGCACGATACGAAATTTTGAAGTTGTTGTTCTCGAAGCCCCACTTCGAGCCTTTTTAAATGCCGCCTCGCACATTTCACGTGAACTAAGTTGGCTTTCCCCACATTGCGGGCAAACATCATTCGTAACGGGAAATGTTGCTTTCGTTATCGATGCAACATACGTAAGAACACGATTGAAACAACCCATAATCTGGCTTGGAAGTATGTTTTTTTCGATCCCAATTGATAACTACATCAATAAAAATGTTCATGAGGTGATCAAAGTATCTGTGTACCAAAACAAATTGATTAGAGCTTTAAAAAACAGATAATATTTTTTAGATGTCGAAAGCAAAGCAAACCTTGCACAAGATGTAGGGTTTTCTGTTGCAATCATACTGAGGCGGGTTTGCGTAAGCTCCAGGCACTCATCTAGTGATATTCAGCTCTCGCTAGCATTTCATCCGACATGATTCCCTCAAGCCTTGCAATTTGATATGTGCTACTTGCACTAGGCGACAGCGTAAACAAAAGGGATGGCTGCCCCGCTTCCAACTGCAGCGACATAACTTTGCTTTGAGCATCTCCGCGCTCTTCGTTCGACCCTTAATGAGCTCTAAGGTTCGTCGAAATGCCAGAGAAAAGTTCTTGGACGGCTTTAGAGGATGGTGAAGGATCTGGTACCCGTTTTCTTTGATTTATGGCTCTTAGGCGGGCATCCCGATATTCCAAGTGACTGAGTAACTCGAAGCGATCAACATTTGCGGAGCTGCTTGCCACGTGAGGCGCTAGTATAGCGCGATAAATTAACCCGCCCACATGGGCGTGGGTCATCGCGCCCAGTATGTCAAAAAGCAACAAGCATGTAATGATGGATGCCTGAGCATGTTTTTGATGCGATAGCCGCAAACAATAGCGCACATATTCGTCAACACCGATTCGTACGGCTCTTGGCTCATCCAGTCCTCCACGACTATAGGGAAAAAGTTCACAAAACGCGTAAACCCAGTAAGCCGGAGTAAAATCTGACAATATCTCTGATGATCGCCAGACCACAACATGAGAGGTATCCTTCAGAATTGTTCGGGCTTGCGTGTTGGCATCTTCGCCGGCATAGTCAGTGACTAGGGCAACTGCTGTTTGGGAAATAAGCTCATCTTCATCATTTGCGCCAAATATCGATGGTGCGGGGGCATTAAACCGCCAATGCGCTGCATCTAATTCGTTGGCCATCGCTGATTCCTCTGCGTTGCCCTCAGTTGTACAATCACTCAGAGCATTGTGTTGATCATGACTTTCACCCAAATCCGTTTCTAAACTAGAAGTGAGCTGCACGTCGCGGTATAGAGCATTGTTTCTACGATACCATCCATACTGATCTCGCAGCCGTGAAGCACGAACTTCGTATCGCTTTGCCGTTTCTGCTTTCTGGCGTGGCGTCATGGGGCCTACCATAGATACATCAATTATTCTCTTGGACACCACTGGTTCCGAAGTAGCTGAGCAGGTGGGGCAGGGGTAGCTCGAAAGAAGTACGCATGGGATCGACGTGAAGAGTGACGACCACCACGAACAACCGAAACGACTTGGGTTGGCTGAGCAAGATTTAACATAGCATTCTCAGTCATCGTCGAGTCATCAAATTGGGTCGGCAAAACTCCAATGTATAATCTATTGGCAATTGCAAATTTCGGGGGTGAAAACAGCTTCTTGTTCGTCAGTGATGCGTAGCATGCATGGTAAAGGTGAAGAATCACTCTTTCACCCTCATTTGTAACTCCAGCCTGTGAAAGCAGGATGCCGCGAAGCTGGGACGAAATATCAGTCAAATCATAGTGCTCCATAAGACCTGTAGGTAGATTTGCTGGGGACTTCAATCTCTTTCTCATCGTCTGAACACGAGCGCTATTTCGAGATACTGGTTTGTCTACAACAGCATCAGCTGGATGAAATGAGCCACAAACACAGCACATCTTGTTCGGGTGGATCGCCAATCGCCTACCGCACTCAGCGTAAATACGTGACTTTGTTTGAGGAGAAATCGGCTCTAGCTGGTCAGGCACGACTCTCTTCGGGTCCGGTTGGTGCGAATGCAGGTCTTCTCGACATGCAGCTCCTAAACACACGTCGGATGCACTTTGCCCAGGATGTTTGCTTCTTTCAGTACGCTTGTTTGGTACCAGTTGCTTGCGATTCGCCATACTTATTGCGTGTAATCCAAGAGCTATAGAGAGACAAGTAGCATCGGCATTAAGTCAAACCGTTGATGATTTTTTAATTGATGATCTTTCGTGGGAGGTGCTGTCTTTCCATCTTTCAATGGGAGATACGGAGCCTACTCCCTACTCCTATATTGAAGTTCACACGTTCCCGTTAGACACAGAGTTAATTATTACGTGGAATTACGTGAATCGATGGGACAAATAGCTTTTAGATATGGATCTTTTCTTTTGACATTTTTTCTTTGGCAAGAACACTGAGAATGGCTCCAAAAGGCGCTGCCAAAAAACACTGGACGAAAGAAATCTAAGGACATGAAGCGGCTTAGCCTTCCGATCCCGAAGGGTTACACTTTCCCACTCAAGAAACGTCGCGAAAAGGTGAAGGCGATGACGGAGAGAGTTATTACAACTGCTCAAGGTTTGATATGGCATGTTGCACGACTTAATCACTAATATTAACACAATCTGTTTTCTAGAACCCCGGACGAACGCCAAAGCATTTAAAGATCCCAATAAAAAGGGCGTCATATCTATGGATTGTTCTTGTGGGGGTCTTTCCACACCACTGAAAAAAGCAGACATATTGCTCATCTGCGTCTTTACGATGCTGTTGCTGACGACTCATTGGTCGACCTTCTTGAGGTATGGTATTTAGAAAGTAATAGACTTCCTTCTCCGGGTGACATCGTTCGTATTGTGCACTTTACCGGCTTGGGTGTCTTTCGCGAGGAGGCTTGTCAATTCAATACAAAGCTCGCTGATGTGCGTTTGCTCAGCACGCAACCACTATTGACCAGCAAATTGAGGCGGATGAGGATGAAGAGAAATCTACGGTCGTCATCACGTAGTTCGGCTTGAAGATGAGGACGAGAGAGAGCAGGTACTGGAACTTCTTTCTTCGGATGGGAATACGAAAAGGAGACTAGACTAGGAAAGGGTTTTGAGTGCCTTTACGTGATGTTGCAGCTATCATTGGAAGTGATAAAGGATTCCCTGCATTGCGTGGGTTTAGTCGGTTGATTTAAACTCTTCGTTTTAACCAAACGATCCTTGCCATGGAATCATATTTATCTTTTTATTTATTTCCACACTGGGTGCATGTATTCACCCAGCCGAAATATACCACAATGTTGCGCGAACGGAGGGTGATTTTCGATTCATTACCGTAATTTACAGCTCGAGCGTAAATTTCAACGAAGTGGCTGGAGCATCGTGCAAGCAATGAGTACCTGGGTGATTCAGTTCTCGCTAGATATGAACTATTGCAGTTCCCTTTCTGTTGTGATACAATCGAAATCTCTACAGTCTACGACTTGAGGTTAAATTATCGCGACAGTAGGACCTTGGAACAGCATTTTCTTGGATTATCTATATTTTCTTGAAGAGTTATTAGACATTAGAGTTTTCTTTTGAGCCACGAGTGTTCTTATAGTTTTCTGACTTTTCAGATTATAGAGTTTTGAGCGGAAAGTAGGATCATTATACACGTATACTCTGAAATAAATTTCAGAGAATTTCAAACATTATACAATACCCACTCTATCGAAATACATACAATTGAATATTTAATTTTTTTTGCTATAAATAGTCAATACTTTGCTACGCTCGTTTCTCTCGAGTACACTACCGCATGTCTCCAATTCGCCTTGCGAGCACTAACACAGAGAAGCGAGCATCATACGGTTTCTGTAGGGGAAGCATGCAGGTACATGAAGTGCTACATCGGCAAGTAACTCTTTTATATTTAAAAAAAATTTTTTTTTTAACGATTATCTCTTCAAAGACTCTATCCATAGGTTTTCGCGGGGCATTCGATAACGTTATGTGGGGGTTGGTTTTGGTTGGTCAGAAGCTACCAATGCCGCCTCAAATTTATATTACCGCTTCAAATAGTATATCCTAGCATAATTTTAGGGCATACTAATAGAATCGTATACCGCATATTATTTGGTAGAACCCGTTACTTCTCTTACAACTCAAGAATGACGCTCTAGTTTAAAGCGCAATTTAGTTATTGCGGCATCATACTCTTGCTGCGTAATTTCACCACGCTGTAGAGCTTTCGCAAGACCATTCCTGCGCTCAAACTGCTCCATGTTCCCCAAAATGTTGTAGACGTGCTTCATATCTTCTGCGTCCAGTTGCTTGAGAATCTCGGCGAGGCTTTTAAACTTCACTCGCTCTTCATCAACGGCTTTGAAGTCATTTCCAGAATCTTCGATTCGTAAGACTCTCTTCTCGGCGCCAGTAGCATCGGCGGCGATGCTGGGGGTAATTTGCGACGAGAGATGCGATTTGTGGGCATTGGTGGAGGCTGCTAAGATCGCCATAGCAGGTGAAGCGTAAAATTTAGTTCGCATAATAGTAGCGTGAGAAGGAGTGGTCTTTGGGATCTTGACAGCGAAATGTGTTGTGACTGACTTTTGTCTGTCAATACGTGTACCGTTACGGTAATGATACAGAACTTGCAAGTAAACAAACGAGACTAATCAAGAAAAACTGGTTGAAATGTTAGAGCTTGTTACTGCACATAGTGGCCTATATTATAGGCCACTATGATTTGCATTTGTGCCATCCTTTAAACGAAGCTGTAGTCAGGATGTCTAAAGGACAGGTCCGCAACTAAGAAACAACTAGTCTAAGCGACACGGAGGAGTACCAGTATGAAACAACTTAGTGTTATAAACTCTTACAAGCTCAAAATGCTATTCGAACCTCGCGAATTCCGACATCTTCAGTAGTTTCTTCGCGTAGACGTTGCGAGGCAGCTTCGTTCGAAGACTACGGGTCAGAAAAAAAGAACGTCAGAGCAGCAGTTCAAGCTACTGAATTTGTTACGTACATTTCTCTCGCTTCAGCTGCTAGCGGTGACTTCTCGTCTGGCAGCTTGAACATCTTCTTGGTCATCTTGAGACGGAGACGACTAGCACGCAACGCCATCCAGGCGCCGAGCAACCCGCCAACTTCAAGATCAAACGAACACCTGTTAGCATTATTCCTTGAATACGCAAGAAGACAAGGCAGCTAAGACGCACCTAGCACCCCCGTGATACCGAATGCCGTTCCAAGAGCAGCAATCTTCCACGCACCAGCCATTCCCAACGCCCCCATGAGTCCACCAAAGACTCCGCGACGTGCTCCTTTCTTGCGATACTTCAGGAAAACCTTCTTCTCAGCTGGTGTCAGGCCATTCCTACTCATCAACAGGTTACCAGGCCTTTGCTTCTACGTTCAAAAAGTGTGCAAAAAAACTGCCACATCCATCCAGCTTCGACTGGGTCCACAATCTCCGAGTCTTTTCTTGGTGAACAGCTCGGACCGTAGGGTGTAGATGACTTCGTATTTTTCGGCGGACACCATGGTGGACCTGGAAATTTGAATTGTAAGTTCTAGACAGTAACCAGACTCTGCGTCTGGCTCTACAAACATTCTGTACACATGAATGCATGTTCAACATCGCGTATTCTTCGCGGCCGGTTTTAAAGATATGATTATGCCTTTTATTTAGCGAGCTCACGGCCACATCCCAAGTGACCTGACTGACGGGAATCCGCTAGTGGACAGGAAGAGTGCGACGGACATGAGCTCTTCGTCATGTCGAAGTCGGTCCAGAAGCACTTGAATTTGTTCTCGAGCGTCCGAAATGGTAGCGAGCGAGTCGAACCACACGAAAACTCGATAGTCAGCGCTACACATGCCCATGAACAGACCCGAGTCACTACGTTCGTACACTAAACGCGCCGCTGTGGTTTCTTGTAGTGAAGACAATCGCTTGCCCAACACTTGGCTCTCGCGTTTTTGAGGATCGGATGGTGTAGAAAACATAAGATGCTGCAGTTTGGCGTACTGATTTAGTAATTGTACGCGAGTGCCAATGTCGTTATCATCGAATGGGAAAGCCAGCTCGGGTTCCGCACATTCCCCCGTAAGTTCGTTCTTGTAGATGAAGTGGTGCAGTAGTGGGAGATCGCTATGAGGTTGCCACTGCGAGTGGTTCTTTATGGAAGAATCGATCGCCTCGATCGCCCCAATCTCCTGCAGTCGATGGGCTACGTATTCTTTCTTCGCTTGAAACTGTGGGAATTGCTCTGGGGACTGCTGACTGCTAAGAAGCAGTAGACACACGTCGGTAGTCAAGAAAACCACGTACGCGTACAGAAATCCTCTATACATAGCACAAGTAAGTTAGTACACAGATATACTACCGCTGCAGTTGCTACAGGACACTCACCGAGCATTAAAGTTGGACAAGCAGATTGGCGTCCATGTCTCGCTAGTGGCTAGAGATGGTGTTTGGTACACGAAGTTGATCAGCAGTAATAAATCTGCAAATGAAGCAATTTCTAACGTTAGCAGACATGTAACCAAGGACGTTTCTAACTGTTTTCACGTCCTTACCGTCGACAAGTATACTGAACTGTTTCTTGTTTGGCTGAGCGATCGCCACCACTTGCTCATTAGCCAACAACAGCCCACAGATCATAGAGGGTGTCGCAGTGTTCTCCTCAACCTCCAGGGCCCTCGTGACTTCTCGACGCTTCTCGGGTTTCAGCCGTACGAACGGTACTCCGCAGTCCTTGAACCGGAGCATCGGATTCGTCGCCCACAGCTCCGTTAACGATCTCGTGACTCTCTCAGTGCCATTGAGAAGCTCTCGAAGGTCGTAACTTGGCTGTCGTCGCAGCACGTCGAGCCCTCGGTCGCTCAGCACGAACAGGATCTGGCCCTGTAGCAGCTGTAAAAGGTGCTTTAGACACTGCGAGGCAAAGCTCGGTGTCTCGTCACTGTAAGAACTATCATCTTCTTGGACGCTTCGTACAATGGCAGCAAACGTGAGACTCTCGGAGCTGCGGAACACGCATTGACAGCCCGCCGCTTGCAGCTCCAGCAGCTCCTCGTGCTGCGTACAAGCCACGAAGGACAAGAGACCTTGCAGGGAGCTCGCGAACGCACTGGTGGACAAATCGTCCTCTTCAGGTGGACGTTTTGTACTCAATGTGGACACCCTGTGGCGGAAAATAGGCTTGCCCGACGTGGAGCACACGAGGACATCCAGCTCCATTTTTGATGTCGCTGATATTTGGGACAAATACGCTTGGGTGGTATGTTTAGAAACAAAGATCGCAAAGGATGATGTGGGTCTTTTGTGTGATATTTGTACCAGTTGCTGTAGCGCAGTCTCCGACACTGATGATCACGTTCCCAGCGCAACATTCGTGGTGGCAAGTGAGCAATGACGATGGACTACTGGAAACCCTGCCCATTTACTTTCAGACGCGCAACTTTCGGGTCCCTGACGACGGATTCTTGCTTGTGACGGGGGATAGTGTACCAGATCAAGGCTACCGTCACATGTCGGATGCCACTTCCTTATTTCTAGATGGAATTGACCCGGGTACACACTTCTGGAAGCTCGAGCTAAGAGCGTGGAATAATTTATCTAGTACTGCTGCAGAGACGACGCTCCATGTGGAGATTGTTGTGGATCCTTCGAACAAAAACTCTCCATGGAGCTACAAGCTGCGAGAGGATGAGACGAAGCCGACAGTACTTTTCAATCCGGATATGTGTGCGTTATGTACTCGTGAAGTTCTGCCAGTGTGCTACGTGTCGTCTACTTCAAGTGCTTTCGACGGCCAACGTCGGATGTGGCTACAAATCATGGAGGGACTCAGCAAAGTTGACTTTCAATTTGAGGTGAAAACCTTCGAGCGAGTAGTGACTGATGCTCCTTTCGCTCGAGCTCTTCGTCGACTAAACGTGAGTGTTGATGGTCTTCCCATTGAGGTGAGCTCGAATGTCATTTTTACAGTGTTGAAACATGTAAATCGAACTTGTCTTTTGACGTAGTAGATCGCTCGAAATGAGCTCCCGGACGAAGAAGCTACTTCTGATGAAGCCATCGAAGCGCTTCTTCAAAGCTTTTACCGTCAATTTTCATGGGCAAAAAACGATTCCCGACAAATATCGACGTTAGATCAACAATTTTTGTCGAAACTTCAGCCGCCATTCGCTGCTCGAATTTGGAGCAAGCTGGTAGATTCACTGGCCTCCTGCAGCGACGGTCTCATCGTATTCTCGAATTCACGCAGTCTTTCAGACGAGCTACTCGTTCTTGCCGCTCGACTCGCTGGACCTCGAGCAATCGTCATGGAACTGGCGAATCTACACCCGACTCGTGTAGATGTGGACGTCCTCCTGGCACCGTCTCACTTTGCGAAGGAGCACTATTCTATAGTGAGGAATGTTCGTGCTCACAATACGTTTGTGCTATCTACCGGTGTGGATACTCAGAAATTTACACCTACAAGATCTCCAATTTCAACCGAAGAGCACTTTGTTATCGGTTACGTTGGACGCCTCTCATCGGAGAAATCTCTCGGGATTTTGCTAGCAGCTATGAAGAATCTTGCACCAATCTGCCCTCGCTGCAGTTTAAGAATTATTGGGGACGGGCCACAGAAGATTCAACTCAAGGAACTTGCAGCTGAGTGGGGGTTACTTGGAGCCAGTGTCGAGTTTGTAAATGGCATCTACAATGAGGAAGCGCTGGTGCGTACGCTTCGTGGAATGCACGTGTTTGCCAGCCCAATGTTCACAGAGACACTTGGCCTCGCTGTGCTTGAAGCCATGAGTGTGGGTCTACCTGTTGTCGGCTTCATTTCTGCTGGAACAGGGGAATTTCTAGTAGATAATTTGAACTGTATAGCTGTTACGAAGGCGACACCCGACAAATTTACCGACGCTCTTCTATTACTTGTCAAGGACCGCGAACGACGACTTCGTCTGGGTGACCAAGCTCGACGTACTGTGAATGAACGCTTTTCAACCCGCATAGCTCTCGAGCAATATGCAAAGCTATACAAACGCATTGGCCGATCATCATGCAGAGGGAATGGAAAAACTGGCGCACCGCGCACTGGTGACTCAGTTGTATATGAATAAGCTGGTAATAAGCTCAGGGATTTCGGGTTTTCTTTTGCAATGTTCAGTCAAGGAAGGCATAAAAGCTGAAGTACCGGTAGTAATCAATGACTGCCGTAGTAATGTATTTTCATTCTCCAGATACTGCATCACAGCGTTTGCACGAACACAGTGACACTGAAGAAGTCCAGGTTAATAGATAGAAAAAAATCACCTTTACTCTTTTCACGATACTCCCAAAGTGCAAATTTCTTCATATATCCTCCGTATATTTGGGCCACAGCTTTCTTGATATCGATCACAATTCCTGATTCGGCTCGATTCGCTGATGTCGAGAGATTTAACAAGAAAATTCCATCGATGTTCGTAAACTTGTTCTGATCGCCCTTGTCAACAATCGATTGAAAGGGCATCGTGCCGACTAGCTCGATTTTTACGGCATTGGGTGCCTTCCAAAACCCATACAAAACAGTTTAATCGCAATTTTTTTATGAACCCTTTAATCACGCTTTTATCACGGTGATGCGTTTTTATATCGGCATTTAGAAAAACCTACATCCAAAAACCCCTATTAGATAGTGTTTTGTCCTTAATTGGCTGTGTTTGAAGTTCAAAACATACTGTGTTGAATATAGGTTGACGATCGTGACAAGTCATTATAGGACAAAAATAGCTCTTCAATCTCTATTTATCAAGATGGTAAAAGATCGCTAAATGATTTGCACCCCCCTTCCCTGCAACATCCTGATAGAAGATCTCGATAGAGAAGCTGCTATGAGCAGCGACGGAGCGGTGTTAGTGCTCAGTGCTGCTATGCGGAGACGCGACAAACGTCGCAAACGGTACTCTCTACTTTTGAGTCGCCTGCGACGACGCCTCCATGAAGAGAAGCTACGTATTGAGTGGCAGAGACTCGTACGAATGAGGCACTACGTAACTCTCGACTGCTTAAAGCACCCCACGGAGTCCGACTGGATGCGATTGTGGCTTAACGGCACCGATAGGAACCTGATAACAAAGACGAGCTTATCTCGGTAAGATATATCTATGTCTATCTACATAAATAGCGACCTGACCGTACAAATTGTGTATTTTTGAATAGCGCTGCGTTCGAGATTCTATTAGAGCGTTTTGCGATTTATTTTGAGCTTCCTCAGTACTCTCCGCGTGGGAAGAGACCCAGGAAGTTACAGCACCACCATCAGGTTCTGGGTCTGTTGTTGTCGTTTTACGTAGGTATCATGAAAAGGGAATCGCTTTGCCTCATGTTTGCTGTGCCACCCTCCACACTCTCTCGCGTGTTAAATGCTGTGGAGGACGCCATGTCTAGTGCTTTAAACGGCTTTGCACCTGCGCGAATGGTGTGGCCATCACCACTTCGACAAAAGGTTTTGGCAAAGTTATTGGAAGCCCGTCAGCCGCTCTTGCGATACACTTGGGGCTTTTTAGACGGTAAAAATTAGAAGGTGAGTGGATATACTGTTTTTACTCCATATATAAAATCTAATACGTGCTGTTGTTGTAGGTGCAGCAGCCGCCAGATACTGACGTACAGAATGCACCCATCGGATTCGTACACTTCCGCATACCAAGCTGGCACCTTAGAGAAATCTATGCGCGCCATCAGCGCTTCACGTCGACTTGGTCTTGCAGGTGACCATAGATCAGCTGTTAAGCTTGAGGGCTTTGGAGTCTGGGAGATCCACCCGTTGTTGACGCCTCGTCGAACAGAGAAGGAGGCGGCGTGTACGATTCGGTCACCGTCGACTGACTGCACCTGTCAGCCGGGTCCACAGTGGAAGACGTCGTTACCTCAGCCAACAAGCGGCACCTCCATGAGGTTTGCGAGCCGCTTATTGACTGCGCAGTTGTCACCGACTAAGAATCTTACACCTTGAATGGTTTTACCAAAAAATGGCAAAAAACGGTCGATAGCCCTTAGATGGCCCTCTGCGGTTAGGTTGTCGTCCGGCTCATCCATAACGGGAGCGATGGATAATGGAGGGTATTGTGGGCCGCTAGAGGTTTCGTAGCACGCGTAAACGCCCAGGTATTGCTCGGTCCCGAAACTGCAGTCGTCGAGTATGAGTCCAAAGTCACTGGGCATATCGCGTCCGATCGTTGTTTCTACGACCTTCGTGACACCTTCCAAGTTGGTAAGCAGTGCGTCTACAGACACATTCGCCAAATTAGAGTACCTGTCACAAAATTGATCAAATATAATTAGCCCATTTTACATTTAGTAAGACTAAAATTTGTGTACGTACCGGCGCGTTGCCTTTGACTCGCAAAAGGAAAGGGGCAAGCTGTCCATTACGATCCACTTGAGCCATGCGTATCGATTGGAGGTTTTTGGCTCACCCAAGATACAAGAGTCCCCGTAGCAGCTTCGGAGGCATCACGCATCTCGAACGGAGGGTGAGCGGTGCGCACGTGCGTCACCAAATTAGTGTAGCCATTCTTAGCGACGTGCTTGCGTCGTTTTCCGCAGGCCATACAGGCGTGATACCCAGTCAGGTCGCCTTCTTCATCAAGAACTGGCTTGAAGAAGAAAGCGGCAATTTGCTTCGGCGTGAAAGCCTGGCTGGGCGATGTTGAGGCGATGAGACTGGCGGACATGTCGTGGCAGGAGTGGGTGCGGGTGTAGGCTGGGATGTAGTTTTGAAAATGGCCATTGTTACTTGTCTAGATTGTCGTGGCAGAGTACAATCAGTCCTTTTGGTTGGAGGTGAGAGATCACAGCCAATCCTTTTGGTTGGTGGTGGCAGATCGAAAAAAAAGTAGTCACAAATTTTGAATTTGAAAAATAGGTTACGGGTACAGGACCTTTCTGGATGCAAAACAAATTATTTTATCGATCAGTAAATATTGCGTTTTCAGTTTATTTATTTTTCGGTATTTCTGGCTGTTACGAAGGCGACACCCGACAAATTTACCGACGCTCTTCTCATACTTGTCAAGGACCGCGAACGACGACTTCGTCTAGGCGACCAAGCTTGACGAACTGTGCGGAACGCTTTCCAACCCGCATAGCTCTCGAGCAATACGCAAAGCTATACAAACGCATTGGCCGATCACCATGCAGAGGGAATGGAAAAACTGGCGCACCGCGCACTGGCGACTCAGTTGTATAGGAATAAGCCCTTAGCGAGTTTCAATAAGCTTAGGGATTTCGGGTTTTCTTTTGCAATGTTCAGTCAAGGAAGGCATAAAAGCTGAAGTACCAGTAGTAATCAATGACTGCCGTAGTGATGTATTTTCATTCGCCAGATACTGGATCACAGCGCTTACAAGACACTGAAGAAGGCCAGGTTAACCCCTCTAACCCGAAGAATATTCCTGATTCTCCGGAATTGATAATGTATGAATGAACAAATGTCTGAAATTGCAAGCCTGTTCCCTCGACACGTGGTACACCGATTGGTTAATATATGCTGATGTGCAGGGCAATTAAAACTCTCAATTGAGATCTCCCTGCAAAACCGTTTCTCCCTGGACAGCAACGAGCCATTGAATGCACACCATTCTGCACAATTACATTCCCATTCAGCTTTTACTCCTCGCTAGCGTCGCTACCAATCTCTACGCGTCGCTTTTTTCACAAAGTGACTCTTGTGTTGCAGCGCTCTGGGATCACCGAACCGATCTTCCACTGATGCCAGATCTGGCTGAAGGTGAGGTGGTTTCCTTGGCCTAAACGTCGCACTTTATTGTAGAGCGTCACTATTTCCTTCTTGTCGCGTGAGCACCTCGCACAGTAGAAGCTAGATTCGTAGCTACGAGTACCAGCACCTGCATGCACCGAACACACTTTACAGAGCCACTGCCGCAGCTTCGCTCTGTTCATTTTTTTTGTCTTCTCCAGTGTCTGTGCTAGCTGAGGCAGTGGTCCTGTATCCAGGACCTCTAAGACGTCGCCTGTCATGTAATCTGTAGACGAACGGAGTCTGGAAGAGGACTTATGCTTGAAGCGGTGAAATGAAGACTGAATTTGAAGTTAATGAAGTGAAATGTGTGCTACGAGCTACGTCCGTCACCTAGACTGCAGAGGGAGATTAGTTGCCGTGATTGTACACGTTCGCAGGTCGTTGCAAAACGGACGCTGCTGCTATAGGTTTCACGCCTGCGAGCTGAACTGGCGATGCATCATCGTCACAGCTCCTCCCGTAGACGCGCAGTAGCGCGAGATTGTGAAAGTGTGTTAATATATCGACGAATAAAACCAATGACTTGCCGCAGGTTGTCCAGTGGTTCCCACGATGGTTTTATAGTCGAGTCCTGCCACTGCACAAGGTATTCTGTTTAGCCTTGCACTTCCTGTGCTTTGTGATTGATTTCACTTGGTGTCCAATTGAGCCATCCGCAGTAATTAACGGCTGGATTCGATTGATACGACTCGTAGATGGATCGAAATGGTACGGACGTAGCAAGGAGACGTGAAATTCAGGAAATAATCGAAGGCCCGGCGGTAATTCGAGTTTGTAGCGGTCGGGGCCTGTTATATCTATCACGCAATAAGGACCGATAAATCTTGCAGCAAATTTTTGAGCTTCGTCCGTGCCGAGATGGTCTAAATTCAGATTGCGAGTATTGAGGAGCACGTCGTCGCCAACCTTGTAAGTTGCGTGTGGTCGATTTTTGTCGTAATTTTTCTGCCAATTTGTCTGAGCTGTTGCGATAGCGTCGCGTGCTTGACCCAGGAATTGCCTGCTGGTGTTCAATAAATGTTGACGCTGGGCGTTGAGGCGGAGTTGACGTAGGAATAATGCAA